AGGCTGCTTCCGCCTTGCATGCGATAGCCACCTACCAGTGCTACCAAGCGCAGGCACTGGCTGAGCTGCACGAGGGTGGGTCTAACCCAGGCTTATGAGCTTCGCACCACAGCCGACTAAGCTCTTCAGACTACTAAGTCCGCTGCGTGTGCGTTGGGGAGGACAATGTCCACACTAGTGGTCCAGGAGCGCCACCCCTGACTAAAACTTGGCTAATAAAGTCCGCTTTCTTGACTCCCCCATATCCCAAGCTGGCCTGTTCGGCGACACCGTCTGCGAATTCACCCAGGAATTCTGGGCGATGAGAGAGCAGTCTGATGGGTGATGTCACCTTCGGCGGGACCGTAAGCCCGCTTCGCCCGCCGTACCATCCATATCTGCTCCTCGCAGAAGGCGCCCGCCTACGAGAGCTGCACCGCCCCCACACACGCCTCTGGCGAAGCTGGCGCGTCTAGCACCTTGGAAGTAGGCAGCCCCCTGCCCAGAACGCTGCTAAGGACCGTGAAGCGTCCCTGGGACAGGTCATCTGGAGTATAGGGAACTTGCTCTTTCCCCACTGGAGGGCGGGGCCCCATTTCCAACGGCACTTTTTACTGCCATGAAATGAAAGAGCACTTTTCCACTTCCCCGGATGTGACAGCCCGAAATCTGCCAGTCTGAGACACTGTGCTCTCTAGCTCGCAGGTTCGGTGTGCTCCGTCAGTGGCTCACGAGTGCTGGGGGGACGGTCTCCTTTCCCCCAGCCCTCGAGCCCCCTCTCCGGAGTCAGGGTGTGGAGCCAGAGCGAATCGCTCTCCTCCAGCTCTTCCGCGGGACCCTCGCGCTCCCCGGATCAGCACACCCGCTCCGCGATGACTCCATTAGCGAGGGCTCTGACTGGTTAGCACGGGCCAGCCCCTCGCGGTGGCTCATACCCACAATCTGATTCGGCTACGTGATTCAGTTCGCAAAATGGCCTCCCAAGTTCACGGGTGTGTATTTTACCAAGGTCAACCCCCTGTCCGCCCCTGTTTTGTGAGAGGAGATTTCTGCCCTCCTGGCGAAGGGTGCAATCGAGCCGGTCCCTCCAGTCGAGATGGAGAGCGGGTTTTACAGCCCGTACTTCATCGTACCCAAAAAGAGTGGTGGGTCACAGCCAATCCTAGATCTGCGTGTTTTGAACCGCTGTCTACACAAGCTGCCGTTCAAAATGCTTACGCAGAAGCGCATTCGCCGATGCGTTCGTCCTCAGGATTGGTTTGCAGCCATAGACCTGAAGGACGCGTTTTTCATGTCTCAATTCTTCCACTCCACCGCCAGTTTCGAAGGTCGAGCGTGGCAATACAAGGTCCTCCCCTTCGGGCTCTCTTTGTCTCCACGGGTCTTCACCAAACTCGCGGAGGGTGTCCTAGTGCCCCTTCGGCTCGCGGGCATCCGCATACTCAATTATCTCGATGACTGGCTGATTTTAGCCCACTCTGGAGAACAATTGATTATGCACAGAGACAAGGTGCTACGACACCTCCACCTGTTGGGGCTGCAGGTCAGCCGCTCGGATTGCTCCATATGAGACTACTTCAGCACTGGCTTCAAGTTCGAGTCCCAAGACGCGCATGGCATGTGGGCACACACCGAGTCTCTGTTACTGTGCTGTGTCGCCGTACTCTCAGGCCTTGGAACGATCCGCCGTTCCTACAGGCCTGTGTGCCTCTAGGACAGGCATCCAGTCATGTTGTTGTCTCAACAGATGCTTCCAACACGGGCTCGGGAGCCCTGTGTCGCGTGCATGCAGCTGCGGGCCTATGGAAAGGTGCCCAGCTGCATTGGTATATCAATCGCCTTGAGCTGTTGGCAGTGTTCCTCGCTCTCCACCGCTTTTTTCCGGTGTTGGAGCAGCAACACATGCTGGTCAGGGCGGACAGTACGGTGGCGGCAGCGTATATCAACCCCATGGAGGGTATGCGCTCTTGCCGCATGTCTCAGCTCGCCCGCCGTCTGCTCCTCTGGAGTCATCTGCGGCTGAAATCGCTGTGCGCCATTTAAATCCCAGGTATGCTCAACCGTGCCGTCTCAGGGACAGGGCACCATCTGGCACCCTCGCCACAATCTCTGGAACCTCCACGTGTGGTCCCTAGACGCAAGAAGACTTAGGTAGCCTACCGTCTGCGGTGGTTGATACCATCACTCAGGCTAGAGCCCCCTCCATGAGGCGCGCCCAAGCCCTGAAGTGGAGTCTATTTACTGAATGGTGTGTTTCTCGCAGAGAAGACCCCCGAAACTGCCAGATCAGTGTTGTGTTTTCTTTTTTTCAAGAGAAGCTGGAGAGCCCTCCACTCTCAAGGTATACGTGGCTGCCATCTCCGCTTATGACACGGTAGCTGGCGGCACCGTGGGAAAGCACAACCTCATCATCCGGTTCCTCAGAGGCGCTAGGCGAATTAATCCAACTCGCCCCCCTCTCATGCCCTCTTGTGATCTCGCCCTCGTTCTCACGAGCCTGAGTACAGATCCCTTTGAGCCACTCAAATCAGTATCCTTAAGATTTCTGTCCCTGAAAACAGCACTGCTGGTCGCGTTGGCCTCCATTAAGAGGGTCGGGCACCTGGAGGCATTTTCGGTCCGTGACTCGTGCCTGGAATTCGGGCCGATTTTTTCTCACGTTATCCTGAGACCCCGCCCGGGTTATGTGCCCAAGGTTCCTACCACTCCCTTTAGAGACCAGGTAGTAACCTGGCAAGCGCTGCCCCGGAGGAGGCAGACCCAGCCCTTTCCTTACTCTGTCCAGTTCGCGCTCTGCGTATTTATGTGGACCGTACTCAGTACTTTAGATCATCTGAGCAGCTATTTGTCTGTTATGGCGGTCGGCAGCAGGGAAGTGCCGTGGTTTTACAATCTGCGAGTGGGGCCGGTTTCCTCAAGGGTATTAGGTAACCCTTGGTGACTGAGGAAACAATTTGGTGGGGTGTTGTAACACGCTTGCGGTGCCATTATCACGGAGAGATGTGCACCTCCCTGTCTGTCAGTAAAGTTCCCTGTTAGGTGAGCCCTGCAGATTCCTCCGTGGCCCCCAGCACTGACTCAGCGGAGGAGTCACTTGCTGGCCCACTACATTGTAGGTCTGCCTGCTGGTCAGCCCGGGTTTGGGTATAAGTGCCTGCTATGTGCGATCCCCACTAGGCGATCCCATATGTCTTTCTGCCATGGTTCAGTCCCCCCTCTTGGGTGGACACGAGCCTTCCCTATCTGCCACGTTCTTATGCGCACTCCCCCTTCTTAGGGCTAGTTCATATGTAATTACCATTTTGTCTCCCCCATTGGGTGCGGATGGTCTCCGCAGCGTCCTCCCTACCGGGATTCCACACTACCCAACGTACTGTCGTATTTCCTAGAATTATCTAGACGTTAGCGACTCCCCAAAAATATACCTATTCCGTGAAACTTCCTTTGAAGTGGGATGAGTTAGGGCCAAGGGCACGTTAGAGGACCGCGCCTCCCATGATGTGGGTGTGTCACGCTTGCTTGACTGCCCTCTTATCGGGGGCGTTGGTAAGGTGCAGTCATTATGGCGTTTTCCATAGTTCTCCCATATGTGGATTTTCTAGATCAAATCTACCTATAGCATTGGAGTTCCCCAACTGAAGGGGAACGTTCGAGGTTACAGAAGTAACCCTTCGTTCCCTGAGGAGGGGAATGGAAATGCTATACTCTGCCATAATGACTGTCCCTTAGCTGTTAAAAGCCTCTTCAGCTTAAAAGGATGGCGTTTGCTCGCTCCAGGTGTGCTTATATGCTGGGATAATTGGCAATGAAGCACACCTGCGCAAGCTTACGTTGCCAATTCATTGGCTTTCATTGGCCCGTTCAATACTCTTTCAGACAAGCGGCTTCTGAACAGAATCCTCCCATACGTGGATTTTCTAGATCATATCCACCTATAGCATTTCCGTTCCCCTCCTCGGGGAACTAAGGGTTACTTCTGTAACCTTGAACGTTCTTTGCATTGCCTTTACAGTGACATAACTACTAAAATTTGGAGGCTGAGAAAAATGCTCATTAGAAGAAAATTTCAGATGGAACAAGTTTTTTGAGAGGGTGCTCGCTGCAGAGCCATTTGAGCAGAGCTGAGCTCCAGCGAGGGGGAGCATGAGTGAAAACTATTGGGTAGATTTGTCACGTTACTGATGTGAGGTGCTTCTGTCCATGTTGCTTATATTATTATAGGATTGTTATAATTATTAATAATAATTAAAGAACTTATCATTTATACAGGCTCTGAAAATCATGGTTCTATTGTTTACAATTAACAAAAATGATATAAATGTAATAGGTATCTTGTATTATATGAGATTATATGTACACAAATGGACAATGAGAAAGTTAAATATATCTGCGTTGAATAATCAAACAAGTCAGGAAAACAAACAAGATTTAAGCAGTTTACTTGTGGATGAAAAATGTTATACAAACAACAAAGATAACAACAAATTCATGTGAAGTTTAATAAAAAATAATTATATATATATATATATATATATATATATATATATATATATATATATATATATATATATATATATATATATATATATATATATATATATATATATATTTAAATTAAGATTTAATAAACCTGCAATATTTTTTAAGTCGTTGCGCTTCTAATGTCAGCCACATATTGATGGGTTACATGTAATAAATTACAAATACTTTTAAATATTACACCATTTTGAGCAGCAATTTTCATCATTGTGTGGTGTTTAAAGAGCTTCATAATAGAGCTTTGAGTTTCTGCATTACTATAGTTTGGTTTTGGATTAAATCTGTGTATTTTGGCTAAGCTGTTTTAAAGAAAACACGCATGGCTTTACTAGAAGATCTTTACATTCATACTCATTATTTCTTTGTGTTGTTGTTGTTTCTGCAGTGTGGATAAAGATGATCAGACTGGAGACCTGCAGCAGGATTCACTCCAACCAGAACATGATGAACTTCAGAGAGTCAAAGAGCAGCACAAAACCAGCATGAAGAGCAAGTATGAGAGATTATTTGAGGGAATCAACCATGGAGAGACTCAAACCCTCCTGAACAGCATCTACACACAGCTCTACATTATAGAAGGAGAGAGTGAAGGAGTGAATAAAGAACATGAGGTTTTACAGATGGAGAAAAGAGCCAGAACAAAACCCCCACAACACACTCCAGTCTACTGCAATGATATATTTAAAGGCCCAACTGAACTAGGACTTAAGAAAACAAGAAGACGAAGAAGTAGAAGAAACAAGAAGAAAATAAACAAGGAGAAACCCCTGATCAAGACTGTTATCACTAAAGGCATTGCTGGAATTGGAAAAACCGTCTCTGTGCAGAAGTTCATTCTGGACTGGGCCGAGGGAAAAGCCAATCAGGATGTAGATTTCATGTTTGTGCTTCCATTTCGAGAGCTGAACTTGATCAGAGATCATCAGTACAGTCTTCACAGACTTCTGCTGGACTTTCATCCTGAACTTGAAGATCTGGAGCCCAAGATGTATGAGCAGTGTAGAGTTGTGTTCATCTTTGATGGTCTGGATGAAAGCAGAATCACACTGAAGTTTTCAGATGAGGAGAAAGTTTGTGCTCTGACTGAATCTTCATCAGTGGCTGTGTTGATGTTGAACCTCATAAAAGGAGATTTGCTTCCCTCTGCTCTCATCTGGATCACCTCCAGACCAGCAGCAGCCCATCAGATCCCCTCCAGATACATCAACCGTCTGACAGAGATTCAGGGATTCACTGAGCCTCAGAAGGAGGAATATTTCAGGAAGAGAATCAGCGACGAGCATCAAGCCAGCAGAATCATCTCCCACATCAGAAGAGCAAGAAGCCTCCAGATCATGTGCCACATACCCGTCTTCTGCTGGATCTCCTCCACTGTGCTTCAGAAGCTCCTGGAAGAAGATGTGAGTGCAGAAATCCCTCAAACTCTGACTGAGATGTACATCCACTTCCTGCTGATTCAGATCAACGTGAGGAAGCAGAAGTATGAAGAGAGAGATCCAGAGAAACTCCTGCAGTCCAACAGAGGAGTGATCCTCAAACTTGCTGAAGTGGCTTTCAGACAGCTGATGAAGGGCAATGTGATGTTCTATGAGGAGGACCTGATTGAGAGCGGCATAGACGTCACTGACGCCTCAGTGTATTCTGGGATCTGCACTGAGATCTTCAAGGAGGAATCGGTGATTCATCAGAGGAAAGTCTACAGCTTCATCCATCTCAGCTTTCAGGAGTTTCTGGCTGCTTTCTTTGTGTTTTACTGCCATTTAACAAAGAACACAGAACCGCTGGAGAGAGAATTTTTATATAGTCATTATCTACAGTCCAGCTCTGAGAACTCTCTGTATGAACTGTTCAGATCAGCAGTAGATAAAGCAGTTGAGAGTAGTAATGGTCATCTGGATCTGTTCCTGCGGTTCATGCTTGGCGTCACACTGGAGTCCAATCAGAGACTCTTCCAGGATCTGCTGACACACACAGAGGAGAGTTCAGAGAGCATCAGTGAAATCACACAGTACATTAAAGACAAGATCAAGAGAGATGACTGTCTCTCAGCTGAAAGATCCATCAATCTGTTCCTCTGTCTGCTGGAGGTGAAAGATCAGACTCTGGCCAGAGAGATTCAGGAGTTTGTGAAATCAGACAAACACTCAGAGGAGGAACTCTCTCCTGCTCACTGCTCAACAATCTCCTACATGATTGAGATTTCAGAGGAGCCGCTGGATCAGTTTGATCTTCAGAAATTTAACACATCAGCTGAGGGAAGACTGAGACTGATATCAGCTGTGAGAAACTGCAGAAGAGCTCTGTGAGTATTTATTCATTCATCACAGAGGACACACTCAAGAGTCAGATTGGTTTAGCAGATAATTGCCCTGCTTTAACATATTCATAGAATACTGTTTATTTCTCATGTTAATATTGAAACAAAGATGTAGTTTGCAGCAGTTTAGTGCACTATATTAGTAAAACATTAAACCCTTTTTATAACATGAAATAATTGCAATGCAGTGGCGCAGTAGGTAGTGCTGTGTCCTCACAGCAAAATGGTCGCTGGGTCACTGGTTCGAACTTCAGCTCAGTTGGCGTTTCTTTGTGGAGTTTGCATGTTCTCCCTGCATTCGCATGTTTCCTATGGGTGCTCCGGTTCCCCCACAGTCCAAAGACATGCAGTACAGGTGAATTGGGTAGGCTAAATTGTCCTGAGTATGTGTGTGTGTGTGTGTATGTTTCCCAGGGATGGGTTGTGGCTGAAAGGGCATCCGCTGCGTAAAAACGTGTTGGAAAAGTTAGCGGTTCATTCCTCTGTGGCAACCCTGGATTAATAAAGGGACTAAGCCGACAAGAAAAGGAACGAACTTAACACCCTGTAGACTGAACACTTAACAGTGCTCATTTCTTACTGCTGATTTTGCGCTTACAAAAAATTACAGCAGTTTTTTTAAAGAATGAAAGCAGTTTTTTTAAAGAAATGCTGCAGTTTTAGTTAACTTCTGAAAAGTGCAGTTTTTTTTTACATGGAAAAATGCAATATTTAAATATTTACAGTATTACTGCAATACAACTGAAGTACTACAATACAACCAACTGCAGTACATCTACTGCAATACAAATGAATTACTACTACAGTACAACTATAACGCAATACAACTACTGCAATGGTACTGAAGTGCTGCAACCTCTATTATGCAGTACTTCTACTGCATAACAACTGAAGTACTACTACAGTACACCTGCCATACCACTATTGTAATACAATACAATGCAGTACAACTACTACTTTTCCTGCTGTGGACAATGATTTCCAAATGAAGATTTAGCACTTAAGTTGTATTGCTGAAGTACCACAATATAATGTATTGCACTTTTCAGAAGTATAACTAGCAACAGAAATACATCTACAATACTGCAATACATAATAAAACTAAAGTGCATGTCACGTCATGTAAAACATGTCACTGTATTGCCCCTCTCATTTTTTTTTTCATTTTTCATCAGTTGTACTGCAGATTTTGATACTGTTGAACTTTACTGTATTGTAGTTGAACTGTGTTTATACCTCATTCATTGTACTGCAATTTTGCAGTTGCATTGAATATTGCCAAAGTTATCCTTTGTAAATAGGCTGCTACCGTTATACAGTTCACTGCAGTTATTTTTATTATTCGTTTTTGCAAAAAAAACTCTTAAACTTTAAATTAGAAATTACTAGAATCGAAAACATTCCTGAAAAAAGTACAAAATATTTTTGGAGGATGTTGAGGAACAAACCCTTTAGAACACAAGTGCAGTACAGTTCTTACCATACCATTGGCATATTAGACTACAGCTGTCACGGTCGGTGAGGGGAAAAAACAGCGAGGACTCAATTACAACAAATAATGGGTTTTATTAATAATAAAGTACAAATAAAACAAAAAGGGCAAACAAACTACCCCGAGGGGGAAAACATGAATAAAAAGGCAAAAACAAACTTGACTGGCAGGACAAAGCAGGGCTGGACACAACAGGACAGGGAACTATCGACGACGAACTGGCACAGAAAAGCAGGCATGAGGGGATTATAAAGCAGAAGTAAATTGACACAACAGGTGAACATGAGAAACTAATAATGGGTTAACAAGGAGGGTCGGACTAGACAATAGACGGGAGAGCACATGACACAAAGAGACAACACAAGCCATGCGCTCACATAAAACAAGACTGAACACGCAGCCAATGAGAGAACTCATTAACCGCGTGTTCGTATGACAAGACAAACAACACTGAAGCACACAACAAAAGCACGTGACCACAATGTAAACACCGACCTACGTGCTTTGACAAGAGACGCAAGACACGAGCACATGATAAACACCTTACCGTGCGCTCACACTTATGCAACCCGCACGTGCTTCATCTCAGCGCCAAACCAAAACTGAAACCAACTAGACGGAGGCGCTGAAAATAAAACAGCGCTATGCTGACAGAACAAAACACAAGTACAAGAGCGCGCGTCCAAGGCACGCAGAGTACGAGCTGCCACATCATGCAGGAGCGTGCATGCTCTGCACACACCCACGACGGTGCGCGCACACACAGAGACACACACAATGACAGAAACAGGACAAGACAGGGCTAGTGTCCGGACTGCCACCAAACAAAAATTCACAAGACCAGATTGGCAAAACCCTGACAACAGCAGCACATGTGCAGGAGTTTACTTGTTTTTACTGCAGTTTACTGCATCTTATACTGCAGTTTAACTTCATTGTACTGTATTGGAACTGTTTATACTTCATTGTATTGCAATTTTGCAATTGTAATTTATTTTACTGCAGTTATACTTCTATATACTGGTGTTGTACTCCAGTTGTACTCCAGTTTTACTTCAGTTAACTGCAGTTAAATTTTTGTAAGGGTAAGCTCAAACCACCAGATTAACCCATTATTAGCATTGTTTGTTTTGTCCTCTACACAGGCTACAGTGCTGTAATCTCACAACTCTGTGTTGTGAGATTTTGTCTTCAGCTCTAAAATCTGCAAACTGCAAACTGGAAACACTGAGGTTTGAGATCAAACAACTGATTGATTGATTTTTTTTTTTTTATACATCAGATAAATTACTAGAAAACACACTAGTGATGAAATCTGTGTTCTTCTTTCTCAGACTGAGCACTTGCAATCTCACAGCTGACTCTTGTGTGAGTTTGTCTTCAGCTCTACAATCCTCAAACTGTGTCCTGAGAGAGCTGGACCTGAGTAACAATGACCTGCAGGATTCAGGAGTGAAGCTTCTCTCTGATGGACTGAAGAGTCCAAACTGTAAACTGGAGACACTGAGGTAAGTGCTTTTCTACTCAACAATGCCTACAAAAAGATAGTTACATACAGGGTTAACAAATGTGGAAGCCCCATTCATTGGATTGGCAGAAAAAGAAACAAAACAATTGCAGGGATGTGCTTTTATTAATATCTATACATATGTGTGTATAGAAAATGTATTTAAAACCATTACTGTGTAATTAGCAATAGGTTTCATTTTCAATAGAAAGCTTCTTTTTCTAATGTACTCAAAGATGACTAACAGTTAAATAAAGCTTATTTTAAAGATCATTTTAATTAATTACTTCTAAAATATTTATTCATATTTTATATTTATTATATGTTTTTATATTTTTGAATAAGTTCATTGAAAATATATATTTAGAAATTTGTCATGTTTGGCAATTCTGTCAAAAAATCTAATAATATTACAACTAAAAGATAAATAAATAAAAACACTGATAAAGACAATGATAAACTCATAAAGTCTGTGGTGAAGTTTTGACCTGCTATTTGTGCATTTTACTGTTTTTTTTTTTTTTTTTTTTTTTAAATATACAACAGTCTCATAGCACTCTTATTATTATATAAACTACAACAATATAAAATACATGCAGTTTGAATTGGATTCAAAACCTTACTGATACGGACCTAGTGGTTGAAGTTGTCCTGATTACTCATTCACATAAAACAATGGGCCCTATCATACATGCGGCGCAATGTGGCGCAAGGCGCAGCGCAATACTTGTTTGCTAGTTTTAGCTCGGCGCAAGAGTCGTTTTGAGGCGTTGTGCCACGCTCTTTTAATCTTTTAAATCTTTCTCATATGTGTGCCCATAGAAGTTCTGGTCTAAAAAAGGAAGGCATTATGAGGCGCACTGCTGGCGCCTTGCTATTTTGAGAAACTATAATAGATTTTTCATTAGACCAAAACAAACCCGGTCTAAACTCCAGCGCATTAAATGTAACTTAATGAACATTTTTGCCTGCTTTAAGACATTCTTTCTCTTTATCAATGATGATAACAACTTTAAAAGAGTCAAAATAATTCCAATGGAGTCAGATAAATAACAGATTTAAACACGACATCCTTTAATCTGTTTCTGATTATTGGTTCAGAAAAATAATGTAAGCTTCAAGCCTTTCAACACACTGCTATTGGTTGAGCATGTTTGTTCTGAAAACAGGTAACATTACTGGTTAAATCCATGGTGTATCTGAACATTGACATTCTCATCTGATATGCATGTCTATTGCATCATCATGGCTCTGCCTCTGTATGAGTGCCCTGTGCAAGTGCCCATCATTCAAATTTTTTCAGAAACATGTGGGACAACGTTACATTTTTTAAGACGTTAAGCTGATGTTAACCTGGGAGCTACCTAACATTAACTGCTGGCATGTTCTATCTCAAACATAAAAGTTAGCATTTAAATTGGTTACAAAATATTGTAAATACAGTATACAATATAATATTGTAATATACGTCTTATTTTTGCAAATTTAAGGAGCAACTCTAAAGTAACAACACTTGAGGCTGAGCAATAAGACAATATTATCATATATTAACAATGTCTAACAAGCATGGCAATGTCAATTATGACATTGCCGGCAGCTAGCTCTCTGCAACTCTCACATGGTTGCCCACTGAAGCTAAGCAGGGCTGTGCCTGGTCAGTACCTGGATGGGAGACCACATGGGAAAGCTAGGTTGCTGCCGAAAGTGGTGTTAGTGAGGCTAGCAGGGGGCGCCCAACCTGCGGTCTGTGTGGGTCCTAATGCCCCAGTATAGTGACGGGGACGCTATACTGCTCAGTGAGCGCTGTCTTTCGGATGAGACATTAAACCGAGGTCCTGACTCTCTGTGGTCGTTAAAAATCCCAGGATGTCCTTCGAAAAGGGTAGGGGTTTAACCCCGGCATCCTGGCCAAATCTGCCCACTGGCCTTTGTCCATCATGGCCTCCTAACCATCCCCATATTCAATTGGCTGCATCACTGTCTCCTTTCCACCAATCAGCTGGTGTGTGGTGTGCGGTCTGGTGCAAAATGGCTGCCGTCGCGTCATCCAGGTGGATGCTGCACACAGGTGGTGGATGAGGAGATTCCCCCCACTGTGTAAAGCGCTTTGAGTGCCCAGAAAAGCGTTATAAAAATGTAAGGATTTATTATTATTATAGAATTATCGGTTGACAATCAACATTATTAGGGAAAATTAAATAAAATTATCAAGTAAATGTAGATTATATTTAAATATATTTAAAACTGCCTATTACACTTAACTTTACCTTACACTTATAGGAGTAGCTGATAATGCGCTTAATGAAAATCTGATATTTTCAATTACACTTTAAATATCACTTTAAAATTTCCTTCCTAGGTAAAATGTGGCTTATTTCTCACAGCAGACATTACAGTTTCATGTGATGTCATATGGACAATGTCTTTGCTCTGTACAGTCAAAAAAGATTGTTTTGAGTCCTTGTTGAGTGTTTGAGTGCGTTTGCTGATGTGAGGGCTCGATCAATAAGGAGAGCTAATCAGGATGTGTGTGTTCATCACTGCTGTTGACATGAGCAGAAACAGCAGTCAGCATCTTCACAACACAAAGAGATGTGTGATTGTCCAACTGTGTGATGTGGACTATTGCTGTGTTTGTAGATTGTCTGGCTGTATGGTGACAGAGGAAGGCTGTGGCTTTCTGTCTTCAGCTCTGACTTCAAACCCCTCACACCTGAGAGAGCTGGATCTGAGCTACAATCATCCAGGAGATTCAGGAGTCAAGCTGCTCTCTGAACAACTGGAGGATCCAAACTACACACTGGACAAACTCAAGTATGTGGAGCATCACTGGCCTTGTGCTTTTACACTGAATGGCTTTAAAAACACACAGAAAGGTATTTTTTAATTAAGTTGCCTGTAGGGCATACAGAATAAAAAGCTTGTAGACTATTACAATAATGTTTATGAAGAGCAAATCATACAGTAGGAATTAATCTCCCGAGGTCGGCCAACAACTATACCCAATTTATTAAGAGTTTAATATTAAGACCTTAAAATACTCACTTTTGTTTGTATTTTAAGGACAAATATAGAATTGAAAGCTCCGTTTCAAATATTTTCTTCACAGACCTGAGAGACATACCTTCATAAAGCCCGAAATGTGCACTTTTAAACAAGCCAACTCTTTAAAAAAAAAAAAAAAAAAAAAAGTTTTTTTGCTTTAGTAATCCAATTGGAAAATATATAATGCAGAATTCTATGTCTGAGCTCATTAACTAGTTCCTGCACTTCTGCATTTAAACACAAATCACATGAAAACAGCTGTCTGAACTTGTGAATACCCACAAATAACAGCTTTAAAGAGAAAGAAGTTTATTTAATCATCAGTATAAGTTTGAATTATGACTCATTTGACCATTTGAAAAATCTTACCATGATTACAATTATTTAACCAAGTAGGCTATAAATGAAAGGTTGTGAAATATTATTTTAAATTAAAGTAATTGTTTATTATATTAATGTAGTTTAAAATGTTATTTATTCTTGTAATTTGTTCTTGTATAGTTTTAGACATTACTTCTATCTTTTATCACAACAAGCACATATTATACCTTTTATTTTAAAAATCTATTTATTATCCATGAAAGAAACACAACATTTATAATAATTTAATGGTATAATGATAAAAATAAGGACACTATATTTGTCATGATTACAAGCAATCTACAACCACTAGAGTTCGCTGGTAAACATTCACACACATAGGACTACAAATCTGCTTGTAAACGGAGAAAAGAAATTATCTGAGAAAAAAAAAATGCATTACAAATTGTAATTTCCAACCTGTGTCATCTTGCTGTTCCACGTCTGTCACAATAGCTCCGCTCTTTCACATCAGGCGCTAAGTGATAGTTCATTCGTCTTTTTTTTTTTGCGTACTATAGTCATTAACATGGGCACCTGCTAAAAACTGACACTATAAAAAAAGTCAAGTGACAGTAGGGATGAACCATCTACATCAGCCTTTTCTATGGAGACATACAGCAGCCTTGAATATATAGCAGGGCTCGCCAATAAGGCGAGACGCTCTGGCCAGTGTACATAATTGTGTACAGATGCAGCCTTTTCACAGAAGTTTACCTTGGCTGCGACTGTCTGTCAACTTCGTGCAAATTCAAGGGGGCTTTCACACATAGATCTTTATTTCGTAATCTGTCTCGTTCCACCTGTTAGCGCGGTTTGTTGGGCACCAGTGAATGCACTCAGATCCACGACAAATCAACCGGTCCGAGATCGCCTGAATGAGGTGTATTCTGCTCGAATTACAGGATCGATTGTAGTGAGAAAACAAAACAATGCAACAAACTAACGACCCAGGCTATAATCACAGTGTATTATGATTGTGTAATGGCTCTATAAAGAGAGTGGGGCAAGATGTCATTCCTACCAGCAAATGTACATTTCATGTCTAATAGTGAAAGCATGCTAAAATATTACCAAGGGCTTTTTATTCGTTAGAAAAGGTTACAATCTGATAATTTTTATTTATTAGGCCTGTTGTGTTCATTTCTGCACTGACTGCTCGACAGAAAGATCAACATTGACCTGCTTCATGATCTGATGCAGTTTCAGTTCATCTGTTATTTCTCTCTATAATTTAAGTCTGTAATGCATAATTCTAGCCAACGTTTCATTAATAGATTGATTAATTCAATAGATATTTACAAAACCTTACACAGAAACGAGGCTCTGTATGAGAAAGTCTGACCTCTATGATTTTTATTTGATGACTATGTGAAGTTTAATTTTAAACTAATTTCGAGAAGAGCATGTGCTCATGATTGACCCAGCTGGTCCACATTAGCTAATCATGCTCTTACAAACAAAGGCACCCAAGTCACTATATACACCCTCATTTACTTTCTACAACTATCTTCGTCTGGAAGAAACCCCTCTCCTTCCCTTTGTCACGTTAGCGTGATCAAATCAGAGAAACAAAAAGGTGCAGATCCAAGTGCAGATTTATTTACAGTGCATCAACATAAAACAAGGTGTTCAAGGTACAAAGTAACAAATAAACGACAAAACCAGAAACTAAATCAGAGACGAGGCTCAGGAAAAAAACTCAAACAACTAAACTTAACTAGAAAACAGACGAGACAAATAACACACCAACTAGACAATAGCCAGATACGAGAACAAGATTAAGAACAACAACTCGGAATAACAGACTTATTGGAACTGGAGACAAGAAAGACAAACGACGCGATGACAAACAGAGGTGGAATTGTTGTATAAATAGTCCAGATAATCAACGGTAACACAGAACAGATGAGATGACGGGTCAATGTAAGTGTTCCGGTGTATGCGCGTGGTATGTATGGAATTGTAGTCCTTCTGGGACGCTGTAGTGCTATCTGAGTCCTGATGCACTACAGCGCCCTCAGGTGGTCACTGACGGATGTGACACCCTTCTTCCTCCTTTATCCACAATGGGCAGCACGGTGGCCCAGTGACTAGCACTGTTACCTCACAGCAAGAATACCTGTGGCGTTGGTTCCTCGCTGAGCCATCTGGTATTTCTGTGCGGAGTATGCATGTTCTCCCCGTGTCCGTGTGGGTTTCCCCCGGGTTTCACGGTTTCCTCTCACCGTCCAAATGTGCTCTATATTATAGATAAAATAAGCCTAAACCTTTTTGATAATGTCTTACTCTCAGGAAGTTCTATGGCGGCAAATCAATGCCAATATTAATCGAGCGCAGCGGGGATGTTTGCGCGCGAGGCGAAGTGAACCGTGAGCAGATTACAGGTCTACACACGAGAAAACTATAGCTCGCGAGCGCACAGGAGATTTTCACGCGCGCGCTCAACTGATCGAGCAGGTTAAAAGATCACGCTGTTAAATATATATACAATTTGCAAGTCATAATCATAAGAATCATAATGACTTGCATTCTTGTAACATGACTTTCTGAACCCATTTGATTTGTCCCGTGCAGCACTTGTCTGGTTTGTTGTATTTTACTTTATTATTACCCCAACAGCAGTGCTCATTACACTTGGGGATGATCTTTCTAGGAAATATTGCCTTCAGAAGAGTTTATTTGCTTTTTAGATCTTTCCATACAATGCATACTATATGTGCAGTGCAGCTTTGTAAATTATTATAATTGTTAACATCGTTTGTAATATAGATCAGTGGATAACATATATATCTATATATTATAAATTTTTTTCAATTTCATTTTTAGTTAATGATTGAATAACCTGCATATAAAGACTTCAATCAAAAATGATTAGCCCAATCAAACATAAAGAATACAGTGACAGACATTCAGATGGGTGTTTATCGCCACCTATTGAGCAATAATTTAATTTCTACAATCTTCGTTTGGCTTTACTCACTGCATGTATCCATTACATTATTCCACTTCAGAGGCATACAAATACCACTTTCTATACAACATGCCAACATCTTAAAGGTCACATATGCAGTTGAAGTCAGAATTATTAGCCCACTTTTTTCTTGTTTTATTTCGGCTAGAATAAAAGCAGTTTTTAATTTTTTAAAACCCATTTTAAGGTCCATATTATTACCCTCTTTAAGCTCTTAATTTTTTTTGAAAGTCTACAAATCATCGTTATACAATGATTTTCCTAATTAACCTGAAAATAATAATAATAATAATAATAAAATAACCTGCCTAGTTAAGCCTTTAAATGTCACTGTAAGCTGTATAGAAGTGTCTTGAAAAATATCTAGTCAAATAATATTTACTGTCATCATGGCAAAGATAAAATAAATCAGTTATTAGAAATGAGTTATTAAAACTATTATGCTTAGAAATGTGTTGAAAAAAATCTTCTCTCCGTTAAATAAAAATTAGGATAAAAATAAACAGGGGGCTAATAATTCAGGGGGGCTAATAATTCTGACTTTAACTGTATAGTGGAATAACAGACTAAGGGCAATATATTTACTATAAACCTTTGTACTTTATGCACTGCATGCATGTATAGCCTATTTTGTATACTATTGTCCATCCAATTTATTCTGACTTGTTCTTCATAAGAAAATGAGTCAAGGACAATGAGTCTAAGAAAAAAAAAAAGATTTTTATAAATTTGAACACGTGAGTTCATGTTCATAAATTTGGCTTGAGTTTAGTTTAAATGTAGGTGCTAAACTTCATCAAACGGTTCAAAACACACATTTAAAGTCTGAATTATTCGTCCTGAATTATTAGCCCATGTATATTTTTTCCCCAATTTCTGTTTAATGGAGAGATCTTTTGCCACATGGTATAACTCTCTCTTTCTCTCCCAAATAAAAAAGTTTGTTACAGAAATATATCTCATTATTTTGATATGTCATTATATGACTTGGTCATGATGGTAAGAATAGGCATTATTATGAGATTAATTATTACAAGAAATATCTCATTATTGAAAGTAAGTCGTCACCTATTATTACTGAGAAAGTGAGTCTATTAGTTTCACATTGTGACATTATGATAAGATATCCTATATATTTTTATTTAACGGAGAAACTAGCTTACCTGCGTCCAATCCCGGCTAACTTCCAGAAAGGTAGAGCAGCCAATAGCGTTAGAGATAACAAGTAAACCAAGTCCCGCCCTAGGACTGACAAAAATCCAAAATGTTTCGCGTGAGCAGAGAGAAGAACCAGCGAGCGGAGAGAACTGATCGCGCGCGCTGTAGGCATGACCTCGCTCACGAGAGCGTACATCGTGCGCATAGATGATGATGTGCGCGCGCGGGACTTTTTTTCTCACGCTCGATCAGTTGAGCGCGCGCGTGAAGATCCCCT